TTGAAAAAGGAGAATCATTCAAAAGGGAGCAGCATGAGATACAATGCAAAAACTCTCACCATAAACATTCGAACCCTCAAAGTACATCCACTTTCAAAATAAAACATAAGAAGATTATTAAATAAATTAGTTACAATATATGTGCTATAGTATCGGAATTCGTACAGATAACTGGAATTTTACTGGTATTGGTACTGACTTTTTATTATAGCTATTAAACAAAACCTTATGATACTGGAGGAGAGAAAAAACAAGATAATTGAAAGAAAACAAAAGAGGCAAAAAAACCTGAAGCACGCTCATTAGCACATCAGTAATAGTGATAATGACAAATTCAAGTTAAATATAGTGTTTTCAAAACATACAGTACTTATTGTATAAGGTCCATTTGCTAACAAATTGAGGACTGTAGTCATTTTCAACAAAAATACATGAATTGTGTGGTGGTATGTATAACCCCAATGTGTATGTAACACCATACAAAATGTGCAATACTCTCTAAAACTGTTCACAGTTATGTTCACAGTTACTGTTGCGAGTTTCATTTTTGTACCAGGGGGATACCTTCCTGCTCAGGCCCAAAGTCCGTATTTCTTTCACTCTCTGCAAGAAAACAAAGAAATCACGGAAGGTTACAGCTACATTAAATGCTAACATGAAAAGATAAGCAACACCGATGATATTGTTTGAAACCGGAGTGGAGTTATGAATGGCAGTGAAGCAACGCAACTAAAGCTGGTGACAATGACAATATGGCAAATGTATGTCTCGATTATATTCGAACTATAGTGTTTATACTATTAAAATAACCTTTTTTCAATGGTCAGTAAGTTAGTTCTTCACGAAACGTAAAGTATTACCTACTCAGACATTATGCAATTTCGGACACAGCGAAGCATTTCTAATCAATCACACTAAAATTAATAAACACCATAGAAAATATATTTATATGTAATTTAAATGTAAAGTTGAAATATTTAATTTCTGCACCATTAATGCCACCAAATGGAAC